GCACTGCTGAGCGGAGGGTTTCCCGAGGTGTGTTTTTGTGCTGTGTGCCACCCTTGATTGGCTTCTCTCTCTTGCAAGTTGTAAGTGGAGGTTATGGAGCTCTGGGGGAGGTGGGTGCAAGCTGGACGTGACTTGGGTGCTTGGGATTGTCACCTCCTTGGAGGTGGCAGGATGGGACCTCATGCCATGCCTTCTTGCAGGATGGGGACCTTGCTGTGCCGGTGTAAATCCAAAGCAAACTCGCTCCAGGCTGAGGGCTGTTGAGTATCATGCACTGCAAATGTGCTCTTTTCCCTGAATTCTTTCATCAGGGACCGAAGCGAGGATCTGACCTCTGGTGGTCACCACTCCCATGGCAGTTTCCAGGTGAAAGCTGGGGTCGAACCGTTGGGTCCTACCATGCCTCAGGGCAGGCACTCATCTCTGCACCCAGGTTCCTGAGGGGAAAGCCTGCTGGGGCTCTGCTGTGCTCTTGAGGCAAGAGAGAAATGAGCAGTGATTTTTCACTGCTGAGTACTGTTAGGGAACCTCGCCACCTGCAGAGTCACCAAAAGAAGCAAGGAGTGCTCGTGCGCTCGGTGTCTTGCATTGCATTGTGGATTCACACGAATTTGGCTGTGGGAGCTTTGCACGTGGCCAACCCCAGTGTTATCCCTGGGAGCAGAGCAGGACGAGCGTTCCGACAGCCCCATCCCTGCTGCTGGTCCTGACTCCCCTCTGACTGCAGCCCTTCAGTGTAAGGACTGCGCTCCGGAAGGGAGCGGCTTCCCAAATTTAGAATTTCCTGCAGTGCAATACCCAGAATTGATCTGCGTGCTGATTACGGAGGAAGAGGTGCTGAGAAAAAAAAAATGAAGAAGAAGAAGAAGAAGAAGAAAAAAAAAAAGCAAATAACGGAAGCGTGGGGGTGCGGGCGTCGTGCTGGGGATGCTGGGCTGTGCCACCACCTGCAGGACAGCAGGGCTGGGGGTGGAGGTGGGCTTTGGGGCTTCCCCCCTGCTAGCAGCACAGTGAACTCCTGGATAGACCAGAAAAGGGTTTCCAGCAGAGCTAGGTCACTGTAGTTTTACTGGCAAAGCCTCTTAAGCATCAATGAAGATTATGCTGGTGAAAGCTTACGCTGGTACGGTTTATTCTGGTACAAATGAGCTATCCTGGGAAAAATCGCCGCTGCACTGTTGTAATTGTTTCTGCTCTGGTTTAGAAGTGTTAAAATCACAGCCCGAGGTGTTGCTGTGTCAGCAGCTGATGGGCTGCTGGGGCTCACCGGGCAGAGCAGCGCTGAGAAATGCAGCTCTGGTGGTGAATGCAAGCGCTGAATGCAGAGGGGGAGTGGTGCATGGAGGAAGTGATGCTGGCTTGCTCAGGTGCTTTAGCAAACCTGGGGGCTGAAAGCTGCGTCCTGCAGGCGGCTGCTGGTGCAATTGGGAGCTTTGGGCTTTTGGCCCAGGGAGTGCCAAAGGGATTGGAAATTAGAGGTGCAAAGCTGCAGAGGGATGTTTTGTGCTTGTCTGCTCTGAGGACTTAATGTATTTGGATGAGAACGGGGGCGAATGTTTTATAGTGATGTTTTCTTATTGGAAACTAATAGTAGTTAATAAACGTTGCTTGGCACAAAGACATCAGGCCAAAACAAAGAAACAAACAAACAACAACAAGTGAGGTTGATTCAGCAGCTGAGACACTGCCAGGGTCTTGTTGTGCCCAGGAGCTTTTCCCAGCTTTGGATCTGTTTTCTTGCATGACCCTGGGAAGATGGTGGGGTTCTTGTATGCCTTACTTTCTCCAGCCAGGTACTGTGCACCCAATCTGGGCTCTTCTGTATGTTGGTTTCCCCCAACTGGGCTCTTCCGTGTGTTGCTTTCCCCAGTCATGAAACCACAATAGTGGCACCCAATGGATGCATTGCATGAGTGGAGGGCAGTGGTGAGCAAAGTGGGCCTAAAAACCCCAGCCTCTGACAGAATGAGGCTCCTTATCATGCGGTTGGATCAGAACCTGCCTGCTCTGCTCTGTGCAATGCTTTATGCTGGGGTGCACGGAGCAGAGCCCAAAGCACGGCTCTGTGTGGCTGCTGCATTCCCCATGCCACGTGGCCTTGCCCTCTGTGTCCATATCTTTGGGAAAATATCCCTCCGGATCCTGTGGCTTGCAGGTTCATCATTTAGAGAGAGAAAAGAGCTTCGCTGCACATTCTTCAGCTGCTGAGCATCTCTCAGTTCTCTCTCCCTACTGCCATGGGGCATCTTATAGGATATATAGAGGTCGTTGTGTTTAAACAAAGGACTCATAGAGAAAATAGCCACAATTTATGGGTGCGGCAAGAGGGGAAATGCTTTGAGAACTGCTTTTTTTTCTCTTTTTTTCTTTCTTGTATTTAGAAACAGACACAGAGTTTATTTTGGTCAGGAGATAATCACACACGGTGGCTTTAAATGGCAAAAGTACGCAAGAAAAATGAACCGCCTCACGCTGCTTGCACTGAAAGCAGCCTTTGGGAAGTGACCTCCACAGTTTGCTTAGCCAAAGATGTATCCTTCGTTGTAGGTGTTTATTTGCTTGGAGTTGTTTATTTGAAGGATGTTTCCTCAATCTGGGTGTTAGGGTTTCAACATAGAGAGATGAACACTTTGGGCTGTGCTCGTTAGACAGCTCATCCCGGGGCTCCCTGCCTGCTTCCTTGCAGCTGGGTGAGATTTGGGGTGAGCACGCTCTGCTTGTGCCAGAGGCGAACGTTTCCTTCTTGCTTGTTGCTCTGCAGACAAGGAAGAGTGTGGGGAGGAGTGGAAACTTCCCGGTGCCTTGAGCCACGCTGCTTCCGTGTGCATGGCGACAGGCTTTGGGTGCGAACGCACCCCAACGCGTGGCTGTGCCTACACACACTTCTCCCTGATTTGTGTCTTCAGCACGAAGTAAACAGGATGGGTGCTTGGGAGCTCTGTGCCCTGGGGGTGGTTATTTCAGGAGAGGGGCTGGGACGGCGAGTCGAGCCCACACGTGCTTTGCTCTCTGACGTGCTGCAGTCGGCACGGGCTGCTCGCCAGTAACCTGCCTGCGACCTCGCCTCGGCAGCGCCTGAAATTCCCAGGACCATTGGAGGCAGGGCTGTGTGTGCTTCCTTCGCCCTACTGCCAGCACGAGGGCCCTGTTCCACTCTGCTGCTTCAGGGCTGTGAGCCCAGTGCATCCTCGGTTGTGGTTTGAGACATCCCCACCCGTTGCCTTGGTCCTCAGTTCAGGACATCTTCATCCCCATCCATCATTTTGGACCCCAGCTGCTGCGGTTTTTGGTTCTCCTCCAGAGCAGGGCTCCGTGCCCAAATGCACAACCTGCTGCAGGATAAACACCTCCTTTTGCTTTGAGCACCCTGAGAGTGAAGGATAGGAGGGTGACAAGGCATAGCTCTCATCCCATGTCCTCAGAGAACATTGTGGTGCCAAGCCCTACTCCAACCCCTTTAAAGAAGCCAAAAAGCAGAGAACTGGGAAGAACAGTCCTGAAGCCTCGAGGAATGTCCCGAGGTTCCTGTTGTGCAGCACTCATGTCACTCATCCGCAGATGACGCAGTGGCTGGTGGTTATTTTAAGTCAACATCCTGCAGGAGCCAACAGGAGGCCAAGACCCCAGGGAGCACATGGGGATGTGTGCCAGGGCTGGGCTTTGCCATTGGTGGTGGCGTTGGGTTGGGGCATACGGTCAGTGCCTGTGTCCCCTCTGTGTGTCCAAGGTAGGATGCTGGGTGCAGTGGTGTGATGCTGGGTACACTTTTGCAAGAGGAGCATTGCAGTCTTGCTGGGGATCTACGCTTCCCCGTGGTGGGATTTCCTTGCTCAGTTGGTGCTCTCTGGGGGAGCCGGCTGGGGCTGTGTTTGCTGTGGGTTTGTCAAGCACATTTCCCACTGTGCAATGCTTCTGTTGCTTAAAAACCTTCTGGTCTGCATCTGTTTGGCAAGAGATGTGTTTAGGGGCAGCAGACTTGCTTGTAGTTTTCCTCCCCCACCCCATCCTTGGAGCCATGGAATTGCAGTGATGAGACTGAGCCTTGCTTACCTTTGCACCATTTCTACATGCCCATAGAGGCGAGAAGAAGTGGGACAGGAGAGACACCTGACCGCATGCGGGTGACAGAAGCCATCATTTCCCAGGACAGCATGAACTTCAGCAGCCTGCAGCTGAAGGCAGTGGCTCTCAGACCCCACTACAAAGCCCTGCACTCCAATCAAGGGGCTTTGCTGTCATCTGCCCCTCGCTGCCCATGTGTTTGCTGCTGTGAGCCCAAGGCAGCTCGGGGGTCCTGGGGGGGTTCCCACAGCCCTACCCCACAGCCTTCCGGCTGCTCCCCCCGCAGTCAGCCTGGGGGCCACGAGCCTGCCTCTTCCTTGCCTAGGATTGTTTTGCAAGCAGCGTGACAGGATGAGGAGGAAACGTGCCAGGAATGGCTCCATGTCTCCTCTCGGGAGAATTGCTGGCTATTTTTAAACACCCCTCTCTCACTCCCCTGGGACAGCCGAGCTGCTCAGAGCACAGCGGGTGCAGCCCCCCCAGTGCTGCCTGCAGCAATCTGTGTTCTCTGCACGGCTCAGCTTGCACAGCTCCCCAGCCCTGCTCCTCGTACGTGGTCTGTCCCTCTGCACCTTCCCTTTAGCATCCCCTTGAAATCTGAATTGTGGTATCTGTAGGGTGGGCCCTGGTCCTTCATCCCCTGGTCCTGCATCCCTTAGTTCTACACCCTCTGGTCCTGCACACGTTGGGGAGTGATGCTGCTGAGTACAGGGGGTGAAGGAGGGAGGAGGGCAGTGACAGCTCTGGAGTTGGGAACTCTCCGTGTTGGTGATCTTTGGGTTCTACACCAAAAAGACCCAAAACCAAATGGGATTTCGGAAGCGGTGCTGGTGGAGGAGAATGCATCGGGAGGTTGGGGGTGTTGAAAAGCAGCCTCTAGAGGTCTGGCGGTGATACCAGATGAGACTCAAGCCCTTTTCTCTTCTTCTCTCTTCCAGATTTCTCAAACCAAGTGAATTCCACATCCCTGAACTCCCCGACGAGCCGAGGCCCCATGGCCACCCCATCCCTGCACCCGTCCATCGGGCCGGGCATCGGCTCCTCGTTGGGCTCCCCAGGCCAGCTGCACTCGCCCATCAGCACCCTGAGCTCACCCATCAATGGCATGGGGCCACCCTTCTCCGTTATCAGCTCCCCCATGGGCCCACACTCGATGTCTGTCCCCTCCACGCCCAGCCTGGGATTCGGCACCAGCAGCCCACAGGTGAGGGGAGAGCGGCAGGGATGTCGCTGCTGGTTTGGTGGGGCAGAGCCGTGGTTTTGGGGTTTGATCCAGTCCCACTTCTGGTTACGTTCTGCCAGGTTTTGAGGATTGAAACCCCACTGCAGATAGCACAGGGAGCAAAAGCCCATTTCAGACAGCATGGGGATGTAGGCAGGCGCCACAGGGTGGCAAAAAGCAGAACCCAAAGGGGGAAATGAAGCCCAGGGCTTCCTGCTGCTCCGATGTCATATGGGGGACCGCTGGGGTGTAGAGCAGGACCACAGCCATCCATCAGCTGTCCCCTCCCTGCCTACTGCCCCTCTTTCCCTTCACAGAGGGAGGAACTGGTGTTGGTTGGCTGAAGATTATGTAAAAAACTCCAACTAGCAAGAGATAAGCTCTTTTTAAAAATAGCAAGATCGAGGAGAGCTGGCCAGCCCCTGCCACCTGTTGCTGGCTGCTTGCACGATATATGTTTAGTAAAAGGGCAGATTAAGGAATTGGCTACCACCTGCCACTCAGTGCCGGTTTATTTATCCCAAGCCCTCGCTGGGAGTCAAGCACCTGCCAGCACCTTTATTTTTAAATATTGGCCTGATTTATTTCCAGCAATAACGGGGTCTTTTTGCCTCTGGCTGGGGAGGGACGTGCCGTGCGGGCACTGTCAGCCATCCCCAATGGAGATGCAATGGGAGAGGCAGCGTAGGGTTTGCCCGTGCCCCTGTAGGTTCAGGGGGAGCTCTCTGTGCTGCCTCCTATCCCGTGGCAAAGGGAAGGGGAACCGAAACGGTGCTTTGGAATGGGCAGTGCCAGCTCTGAAGTGATGGGGAAGGAGTGGGAAGCAAGGTGGGGCTGAGCCGCCAGCTGGGAGGGGTGGAACGAGGAAGCTCTGCTGCTAGGCACGATGCGGTGTAGGAACTGGAGGAACCGAAATAAAACCCAACCACAGAGTAAAAAGGGGAATTGAGAGCATGGTCAGATGGTGCCTGGAAGCAAGCCGGCGGCACGGTGTCTCCCAGCCCTGGCGGCACAGTGCCGGCACCACGGACTTGTCTTAAGTGGTTTTCCTTCAGGAGATGGTGAGGAGGTTTCCAGCCTAATGGCTCCTGTCCATCTGTCCCCTGTCTGGGCGCATTAGGGCTCCGGCCCTGCAGTATGCACCTACCTGGCCTTGCATAGGAGCACAGGAGGAGGAGGAAGAAGAGAAAGGAGTGCAGTCCCCCCATTGTGCACCGGCCGGCAAAGCGCCGGGGGTAATGAGGCGTGCGGCCCCAGCCGCCGGGTGGGGATCACCCTGATGGAAGGTGGTTTGCATCAGATGGCAGATGCCACTTGCCATCAGGCCATGCCTCATTGCCTCTGGAAAGGCAACAGAGCAGAAGGGTGTGGGGCAGCCGCGCCGGGGTGGGACGGAGATGTCAGCTCCCAAAATCCCGGCTGCGTTCCCTCTGCTGTTTCTTCCCATGCAAGCTCTGACCCAGCTCCTCCCGGTCTGAGCTTTGCCAAAAGACATCAGCTCTGACCTCGAGCATCTCCTTCTGCCTGGGATCTCACGCAGCCTCCAGACGCAGCCCGGCTCCCAGGCGACTGCTGGGGACCCTGTGGGGAGGGAGGGGGCACGAGCACTGAGCTGGGCACGAGCTGGCAGAGAGCCTGAGCAGTGTGAGCAAAGTCCCAGCCTGCCCAGAGGTCTGTTTGCTGGGATTTAGTGCGTGTTTAAGCTGTCTTACTTAAAATTGCTGTGAAAACAAAGAAAGCATAATTTTCTGTAAGAAATGGAAGGGATGGACTTCCAATGCTGGAGGCTTCTTCCTCCCTCCTGCTTTGTGCTGCTCGAGGCATCACTGGAAGCAGCTTGAGGCACCGGGGGAATGGATCAGGAGCAGGATTAGGCTCCTCTAGAGCCTTTACACAATGATTTTTGAATGTGGGTGTGTTACGGATGGAAAAAGAGGAAAACTCTGGTTGCCATTAGACCAAAGGGGATTTGATCCCCCGTGCAATGAACTAAAAAGGGAAAAGAGAGGAGCCGAGGAGTCCCGGCGCGTGGGGCTGCCACGTCATTGGGGAAGCAGAGCAGCAGTTCTGTGTCCCTGCTCCATGCTGTGTATGGTGCACTCCCATGGCACGTGCTCCCAGCTCCGCGCCAGCTATAGGGGAAGGAGTGTGGCTGGCGCCAGAGCGGTGTGGGAACCTCATAGCACACGTGGGGCTGGGGCTGCAGGAGGAACTGGTGACTTCTCCCATCCTGGGGCTGACTCAGCTCCAGCGGGGCTGAGTTATGGGGGCGGTGGCACCCCCATGTCCTGGTACCCTTCAGAAGGAAGATGCTCACATGCTTCTCACGTGGAGTTTGGGGTTGGGGGGGGAGGGGGGGCTTGATGATGAAAAGCTTATTTTAGCAGATATCTAAAGTCTTCTGCCCCAGCTCTGATGCAGCACCTGATGATTAGCTCCAAAATGTGTTGTGGGGGTGTTGCCAGAGCCAGTGACCCCAAAGCCATATGCAGTGTTGCAGCTTAGTGTGGCTCATGCCTTTCACCCCGGTGTTGTGTCACATCACCAAGGGATGCTCCTGCTGCACCCGTGCTCACTGGGCTGGGTTTGCCTCGCTGTGTGCTGTGGTTATCAGCCCTCTGCCTGCCAACTATTCTCAACAGCTTGGAGGCTTGAAAGTCAGAGGAGTGGCTGTGGTCTTCTAATGGACAGAACGCGAGTCCCAGGACTTCCCTGAATTAATCTGTGACAAGTGCAATTGCCCACAGTCTCTATTAAGGAAGAGAAAGACCACAAGCTGAGACAAATCCTTCTCAGTAGTTGGCAGGAGCTGCAGAAGCCTGGCTGCCCACGCAGGACCCATTATACCTGCCCTGGGCAGGGCTTTGGTCCTTGTGGGGTCCCTCCTGCATCCCTGTCCCCTCTTGATAGGACTATGCAGGAGGGCACAGTGACACCAGCACAGAGCATTTTTGCAGAGGGGTTTTTCTGATGGCACTGAGCGTAAAATCTTGTTGCAGAGAAAATCCCTGAGGCCCTGAAGGTGCAGATGGCTGCTGCGATGGGGACAGCAGCCTGGAACCTGCAGGCTGGGGCTGCAGCTCTGTCCTCACACCTTTCCTTCACGCCTCAGTGAGTTATTTGGGCTATGCAGCCATGGGCAGGGTAGCAGAGCACAGCTTGCTGTGAGCTTGTTTCCGTTGCCAGGGCTGAGCTTTCTGACAGTTCTGTGCCTCAGTTTCTCTCTGTGCAGGAGGGGAGCACCATCCTGTCCTGCCAGGAATGTGGAAATCAAGTCAGGAATATTTCATTGAAATCCCAGAGCTGCTGATGGGGCCATGCCAGCCCCTCTGTTCCAGCTTTCTTTGCTTTATTTCCCAGTTCTCTTGGACTCTGCTGAAGGCTGTGAATGGCAGGGAAGCATCCCACACCTGCAGTTCTGCAAAGGCAGGCCTTGATGCACCTGGCTCACTGATCTTTGGGCTCAGGTGCCCACATCCTCCTCTGGGCTCAGCACTGTGGGTTTTAAGCTGTTTGTTCCCATTTGAGGATTGTCCCTTCTTTCATACGTTTCCCTGCCTGTACCTGATCCCATGTGCTCCCTGCTTGTGTTCTCACAGCTCAACTCACCCATGAACCCCGTCAGCAGCTCAGAAGACATCAAGCCACCCCTGGGGCTCAATGGAGTCCTCAAAGTGCCAGCACATCCCTCAGGAACAATGGCCTCCTTCACCAAGCACATATGTGCCATTTGTGGGGACAGATCTTCAGGTAAGGCTCCTCCTGCACTGCACGATGCCAATGGATGCCGAGGCACATAGGAGCTTAGCATCATCCCCCTGCTTCGGGACAAAAGTGCTCAATGGGAAAGGAAAAGCCTCCCCAGGCTTGCTTTCTCCCAGGTGAGGTGTGCACAGCTCAGCTGTTTGACCTCCCCATCCTTTACACTGCCCTAATGGTAACTAGAGAAGTAAACAGTTTGTCAGGCTCCTTGGTAGAGCCAATCCAGTGCTTTATCCCCAGCCCCCAGCAGGGAGGACCAGCCATTAGCTGAGTGTCCCTCTCTCTGCCTCCTTTGATCTATGGCTGGGCACATCACATAGCACCAGATAAAAAGATGTGCTTCGTGGAGTCTCTCCACTGGTGGGAGATAAAGATGTGCTAATTCCCTTTATTCTCACGCAGCTTTAAAAGCTTTCAGCTCTGTTACTGCCCTGCTGTCTGAGTTTTGTGGTCCTGGGGGATGCCTCCTGCTCATCCTGTTGGGCTGGGGAGGGTCGTAGCGAGGTGCCCCCAGTCTTGCTGCATGGATAACCAGGGGTGCTTGGGGCAGTTTGTAGCCCCACAGAGCATCCTGGTGTTATGGAGATGAATGAAGGCAAAGCCTTCCTTGCTGATGCTCCGAGGAGCCTCTGGCTCTCCCAAATGCTGCCCTGGGAAGGATCATGGAACGGCTTTGGGTTGGGAGGGTCCTTTCGAGAAGATCTGCAGGTCCACGACGAGGGAAAGCAAAGGATCTGTAGGCACCCAGCACCCTTGCTGAGCCTTTTCACCCGTCTGCAGGTAAACATTATGGGGTGTACAGCTGCGAGGGCTGCAAAGGCTTCTTCAAACGCACGGTGAGGAAGGACCTGACCTACACCTGCCGTGACAACAAGGACTGCTTGATCGACAAGCGCCAGCGCAACCGCTGCCAGTACTGCCGCTACCAGAAGTGTCTTGCCATGGGGATGAAGAGGGAAGGTAAGGCAGTGAGCCCCCCTGGGGTGCTGTGTGTCCTGTGGGCACCTGGCCATGTGGTTGGGGTGGCACACGGGGCTGACAGGCACACGCTGTGCCCTGTCTGCCTATAGCTGGGGCCGTGCTGATCCACGAGCGTTCCCTGGCAGTGCTGGCTGCTTTTTTCTTATTGGGAAGAAAGAAGAAATTCAGTCTTGTAAAAAGATATCCCTTCCCCTTACTGGAATTTAAATGAAGGCTCTAAAACTCCCTGGCAGAGCCTCTTTGAAGTGCTCTTTTTAAATGCTGACTGCATCTCTCTGAAACTGCTGGCAGAATGGGCTTTTAGCAGGCACGATGGGAAAGTGACCCCGCAGCACTGCTCAGGTCTCTGCTGCCTTCTCCCCTTACACCTTCACTGGGTCAGGCAGAGCCCTTTCCCTGCTGGCATCACTCTGGAGAGCCCTTGAGGTGCCCTCCCTGGTCCTGCAGAACTTTGGTGTTTGGAAACTTTGGAGTTTCCTGGTGCAAGCAGAGATGGGTTGTACCATGGAGGTGGCTGTGGCCGGTGCGGCTGTGAGCAGAGATCTCATTTGAGTGTGGTTCAGGGGAGTGGGTTTTCCATCCCCTTGGGTTTTCCATCCCCTTGGTTTGTGAGCAGTGATAGGGAACTGCTCCGTGCCCACCAACAGCAGCAATTGCACGGGCAGCACCAGTGAAGTTACAGCTCTATTAATTAATCTCTAAACGGTGGTGGAATTCCCCGGGGAGCGCGCGTACAGTGTGAGGGCTCTATTAATTCATCTTGATTAACATTATCGCAGTGAATAGCAAATGAATTCATAACGATCAGCCAATTATTTAAAAGTGTGACAGATGGGAGCTTCATAACTCTCCAAGCGTGCTCAGGCGGTGCTGGCATGGCACACAGAGGGTTTTGCTGGTGCATAAGGTATGATCCCCAAGCAGGCAGAGCTGGGCTCGGTGCCTTGCTCCCCAGGTCGCAGTAAGGCTGGCAGTGCAGAGGCTGCTGGCAGTGCAGAAATGTCCCACTGCTATAGCACACCCCCCAGAGCTGGAGCTCCCTGAGCTTTGGTTTTGAGCAGCTCATTAGTGCTGATCCACCTCATTTGCCAGCAGATGATCTCTGTCCCATTGCACCCATCCTACTGCTGCTGTCCTTCCCTTGTTGGCAGCCCCGAGCCTTGGCCATAGTCGTCCCCACAGCATCTCTTTTGGGAGCAGCTCTGGGCTGCATCCTGCACAATGGTTCCTTTTGCCCCAGTGCTTGCTTACAGGAAAGCTGGCTGTTATCCTCTGGTGTAAACCGTTACCTCTTTTAAGTAACAGAGCTGAGGTAATGGGCCTCATTTCCTCACAAAATACCTCACTCTGGAGACCTAATTTATAGCCCCATAAATGCAGAGCAGACTCCTGCTGAGAAGCATCTCTTTTGTAGCACAAATGTGTTTGTATGTCGTGGAAGGACAGCAAAACCCTCTAAATTAAGTAGTGAAGGAGTCACTGTTTAGTGGTTCTCCAGTGACTGCTCTACACCCTGGTATTGGGAAGGGGCAGGACAGAGGGAGTGGAGGCTTTAGAAGCCATGTCTGGGGGATCCAGGCTTAGAGCAGGGAAAGGATTCCTTCTGGAGTCTGCATCTCTGGCTGCTCCCTGTGAAAAAACATTACAGCACATCCTGATGCTGTACGAGCCCTGTGGATTCTGGAGGTGTTGAGGCTCTGATAAATAAGCAACCAGGAGCATTTCCCCACTGTGAATTACTGCCAGCTTTGTGAGCTTTTGATTTCTGTGCTGTCTCCCAATGAAAAATTCAGATTACCATCAGGATCTTTGACTAATGCAAGGACTGTTGTGATGGGGTGGCAGTCTGCATCTGCAGGTGTAACTCTGGTTGATCTGGCAACCATTAGGGTCTGAGGTGAGTCTTGGTTCGCTAAACAGCTTTAGAGCCTCTAAAGCTCTGTGCCAGCAGCTTCCTGTTTCAAGGGAAAAAGTGGGAAGTGAATTAGATGCAATGCCAGTAGGACAGGTTGGTTGTGGGATGCACTGGGGTCCCTGTGTGGCTGCAGATCACCATATGGAGCCCCAGCCCTGCATTGCCAACAGCAGGATATGCTGTCCAGGAGCCCTTTCCCATGCTCTTTTTGAGCCACCACAAGGACCCAGCACAGCCCATCCCATCCCTCCATCTCCTTCTAGTCTCCAGGCAGCTTTGTTAATTGCAGCCCTCACTAATTGCACATGTGATGGTACCTGATGGGATGGGTGCTGGTCTGCCAGGGAACCTTCAGCACACCTGGAGACAGAAATCTGCCCCCTGGCATTGCTCTCTGGATGTCACACTGTGGCCTGGCTCTGTTCACAGCTTGCTGTGCTGTATGACAGAACCATCCCTGCGCCCCGACATCCTCAGGGGGGTCAGGAGCAGGAATATGGGAAGAAAGAGCAGGAATTGGGTCTCCATCTCACTGCTCTGAACAAATGCTGAACCAGGCAAGTGGCCACAGCCCAGTGAAGGGGCAGAGTTCAAGAGCAACAGTTATTTTTAGGAGTAATTTTGGGATGGGAAATGCTTTTCAGCTTAATGAGCTTGTTTCTTCTATCCTTTTAAAGAGCTGCTCTTTAAACCAGCTGGTTAAGCTGGGTTTGTTTGTTGTTTTGGAGAATGCTCCAAGGTTGAGAGTTAAGGGTTTGGTTTGTGCTTTTCTCTCATTGCTTTGGCAGGGCTGTGGTCAGGTTTTGAGAGTGAAGTGTCCTGGAGATTTTGGTCTTCCAAAGCCGTTCCCTGCACGGATTGATTTCATGCAAATACTTCAATCCACTTTTTAACACTCCATTTCCATGGCATTACATTCGTAGCGTCACAGCAGGATTTCGCCCATCTTAAGAAATAACCAAATGTGGGATTCAGTAAATGTGGGAAAAAAACGGCGCCATTGATTTCCTGTATCACAGCCTTTGAGGTTGTTCACAGTAATAAGAAGCTGCAACATAGGGGAAAAAAAAAAAAAAGGAAGCATGGCTGCATGAGGGCAAAGCAGAAGAAATGTTCTCAGAGCTCGTTTCCTATGGCAGCACTTTCACTATAAATGGGTACCTGAGGCATAAGCACTTCAAGATGCACAGCTAAGATACAGCAAAAACAACAACAACAACAACAAAAAAAAAAGCAGCAGAGCCCAATAAATTCCACTGCTGGTGAAATGGATATTCCCAGTAAACCCTCCCTGAGCACCTGGTAGATAAACAGCCATGCACTGTAGGCTATGACAAACCTTTTGAGTCCTGGAAGCCACCAGAGCTTCTGGGTCTCCAAAGGGCATCCCAAAGCGTGGTGGAGGGCAGTGTCATCTCCCAGTGCCCTGGTGATGTCCACAGTGCCACCCCAATTGCAGCGGATTGGAAGGGGGCATTGCCATCGAATCATAGAATGGCCTGGGTTGAAAAGGACCACAATGATCATCTCATTTCAACCCCCCTGCTGTGTGCAGGGTCACCAACCAGCAGCCCAGGCTGCCCAGAGCCACATCCAGCCTGGCCTTGAATGCCTCCAGGGATGGGGCATCCACAGCCTCCTTGGGCAGCCTGGTCCAGTGCCTCACCACCCTCATGTGTCTCTTCTGTCCATTATTGTCTGTGGCTTTTATTCTGCCTAGGAATGGGTTGAGCAAGCTGCCTGCTCTGCAGAGCCCACCTGTGGCATCTGACCAAGGAGAAGATCCCATTGGGTCAGTGGTCAATAGGTCAAGTTCTGGGGAATTATTCTCCTTCAAGAAGAGAAACTGAGTTCAGCCAGTAGTCCACAGTGTTGTTCCTGGAAGGATGGATTTCTATCTTGGAAAGAAGTGTGCCCATCTGTATCAACTCAGGGTAAGCCATAATTACAGGGCACTGAGCCCTCCCCAAACCATGGCACTGCTGCTGGGGGCACCTCAGCTGGCTGCTGCCTGGCGGATGGATCCTGCATTTTTGGCAAGTGAGCAGCTCAGTGTTGTCTGCAGTCCACGGGATGAAGCGTTTTGGTGCTTTCGGAGGGAGAAGCTGCCAAGAAGTGGTCTGAGCACATACACTGCTGTGCTTGTCCTGGGGAAGTGCAGATGGGCTTGGGATTGCGAGATGCAAAGCGACAGCAAGCAGCCATAGGCAAGAAGAAGCCAAATCAAGCAGAATAACACGAGCACATCTTCATCAGGTGCCATGGAAAACACAGGCTTCTGTCTTTGGCACGGTTGAGACATAGCTGGAGGAGGCGAGGCTCTGACTGCAATATCTTTTTTCTCCTCAAGTGGATTGCAAGTTTTAAGCCCTTCCCTTCTGTTAAAATCACACTATGGAAAAAAAAAAAAAAAAAAAAGCCCTCTCAACCATATGAATCTCCTTGAAGAAAAAGAAAAGCATTGGCACAGCCATCAGACGGGGCTGGGGCAGATGCTCTTCATCGCAGGAGTGTTACTGAGGCATGGCAAGCAGAAATCCTGCTTCACCTCCTGCTCTTAGTGCTGAGCAAGTGCTGTGCTGTGGCCACTCATGTCAGTGTGGCTGGGAATGGTCCTGAGACCTCCAGGTCCCTGAGCTGCGTGCCCTGTTCTTGTCCACCTGCACAGCAGGACGTGTTAGATGGGAGCAGAAGCAATCTCCAGAGCTGAACATGGTTGTTTCCTCTTAAATACATGTTGGTTGTGTCACCAGAGAGAATTTGGGTCGAGAAAAAGAACGTATGGGAGTGAGAGGAGAGATTTAAGCAGGTGTGATTTTAGCTTGGGAAAGGACAGATAAGAACCAGAACCAGACGAGGTCCAGATGGACAAAAGGCACTGCACAAATCTGAGTGTTAACAGCAGCAGCCTACCTGGCCCTGGGCAGCCAGGCAGAAAACACTGCGAACCTCAGGAGCCTCCGCAGCTCTTACACTTAAAAGCAATTTGCAGAAATAACCTCTTGCTTTTTGCAGATTTCAGCCAGCAAACAAAATGTCCTGTTGGCATGCAGAGCTGCAGAGCTGGGCAGCAGGAAGGCACTGCAAACCAGGCTAATGGGAGCAGTATCTGTATAGGATAGCACATGCTTTAATTTCCTGTTGTTAAAGAAGAAGTTTTGTATTCTAGCTTGTATTTTTTTTGCACTTGGGATGCAGTTGGTTTAGCAGCCTGAAGGGTTTGATTGTGCTGCACGCAGCTCTGGTTTCACTGCTGCAACACCTGCGCCCCTGCTGCTGCTCCTCACATCGCACAGCCAGGTTCAGATTCAGCAAAGAGGGAAAGTGTTGGGGTAATTGTTAATAAATAGCAGGCTTTGGCGTGGCTGAGTGCCTCATTCAGCCCTGAACAAAGAGCTGGGGAGGTTCAGGCCCTGGTCTCTCCTGGTGGCAGCTCCTGTTGCTCGAGCTGTGTCCTGTGGGAACTGTGGATTTAGGGCATGCAGCACTGTGATTGAGACAGAGATAGTTACCAGTGTAACTGTCTGCGTGGAGCTGCTTTCCAGGTTTAGCGACAGCTTTGTGCAGGCTTCAAAAGGAGATGATTAATAATAATGCTGTTAGCATCTAACAAGTGTTTTTCATCTGTGTACTCTTCAGACATTGACTCATCAGCATGTGACATGCTTCTGGCTAGGTGGCTTCTCCTGCATGGGACTTGGGGCAGGTCTGTCCCGTCTGGTCAGAGCTGAGGGCTGGGTCCTGCTTTGCAAGCAGCGCGTGATGCTTGCACCCATTGCTGCTCCAGGGGCCTCCGTGGGAATCGAGCACCAGCAGCTTCGGGAAATGGTCTGACTGTAGGCTTATCTGTGAAAGTGACCCGTTTCTCTTTTCTTTAGGACTCCCCACTGCTGTCCCTTCACCTCCTCGTTTTCTCCCCCTGCAGCAGCGCCCATCCGTTCCTCGCACCCACTGAGCACACTGCTGGCAAGCTCAGGTTGGAGAGCAAGGCAGCAGGTGTGTGTGCTCTGCAGCTCGTAGGGATGCTGAAGGTGTCCAAGGCTCTGTGGAGCTCCGGGGTCCCAGCTCACCCCTGGCACTGTGGTCAAGAGCCCTGGGCTGATGCTGTCCTTTTCTTCCCTTCCCCAGCTGTGCAGGAGGAGAGGCAGCGGGGGAAAGACCGCAACGAGAACGAGGTGGAGTCCACAAGTAGCGCCAATGAGGACATGCCTGTGGAGAAGATCCTGGAAGCAGAACTCGCTGTGGAGCCAAAGACAGAGACGTACATTGAGGCAAACATGGGCCTGACGCCAAGCTCGGTGAGGCACCCGTCCCTTGGTCCTTCTGTCCTGTCCCTTTGTCCTTCTGTCCCTGCACAGGGACGCAGCAGGGAGCTGGGGCTTGATGTTGGCATGGCGGTAACCCAGCAGCCGGTCTGTATTTGGGTCAGGGCAAGGTTAGCTTGTGGGAACCGGAGCTCTGCAATGCAGCTGCTAGATGAGCTCAGGTGAAAGCCTGAGGAAAACAAACCCCTCTGCCCAGTGCAACTGGCAGCACTGGTGCTCTGCTGCCTGGTGGCCATAGAGAATGATGCTCATCCACAGCTGCAGAGAGGAACAGACGCTGCAAGGTGTAATTAAAAGGGTTCACGGAGATTTTGTTTTAGTTAACAGCCATTAGCGCTAAAAGCAGGAAGGCACTCCATGCTCTGAAGAGCTCCTAGTCCAATCAAGGCAGTAAACAGAGCTTTGTGGCTGAAGTGCAAAGAGATAAGAGCTGTAAAATTGGGGCGTGACTTTTTGGGTGCTGAATTACGCAGCTGGGAGGCTGTGAGAAGGGGAAAGCTGTGGAAGTTGGCTCTCAAATCCCTTTCCCATTGGAAGCCGGTGTTACAGTAGGGCTTGCTGGAAGCAGCGGGGCTCTCACAGGGCCTTGTGCAAACAGGAGAGAGCTGGCAGGAGGAGAGTAAAGAGTGAGAAGCTGTCAGAGGGAAACTGTCTTGGTGCTTTTTCTTAGATAATTCCCTTATCAGCATCCTTGCTTTGAGAAAGCCTCGCTGCAAAACAGCTGCCTCCAAATGTGAGAGCCAACCTATCCTCTGGAATTTGGTTCCTAGGACAGAGCCCTCAAAAAGAGCCTTATTGCAGAGCAGCACTCACAGCCCTGCAGTTAGGAGGCAGAGCTGATTCCTCAGTACCCTCAGTTCCCATGGAAGCAATGTTCCTCTGTCTGTAGGGCACCTCTTGGCTGTCCAACCCTCCTTTAACTTCCAGCTGGAGTTCTGGAGCACACATCTGCTTCATCCGGAGCAGCAGGAACATGTGCTGAAACATCCTATTACATCTCCTACTGCTCTGCACGTGAGGCCTGGGATGCTCTCTTTAGCTTTTACCTACAAGAGTGCTTTGTGGCTTGCTAAGTGAAGTGTAAGGCATCTTGCTTAGCTGATTTCTAAGTGAAACTCTTCAGAAGCTTCTTGAGCATGGCATTGCTGCCCCATAGCCAGGAGCTTGGCTGGGGGGACCAGCACTGCCATGGCCAATGAAGGGCTGGAGGAGCTCTCAGGAGTGGAAATACTTGAGGGGAGTTGGAGGCAGCATTGTGCTGGCTTGAAAACAAACCCCAGAGAGCAAGGTGAAATAAATGGGTTCGTCTGGCACTGCGTCTCCTCAGCCTCTTGTAGCAAATTGGAAGCTGGTTCCTGCATAATTCAACACGCATTACTGTGAACAAGGATGTGTGTTGCATCTAAATAGAAGCAGGAGGCTTGTTGAAATGCCCTGTTATTGTCGGGCTTCTGCCGATGAGGTGACATTTGTAGCAGGTTTAGTGACTGTATGAGATCAGCAGCATGGTGATGGTGAGGGGGGATGGAGGTGTTACCCTCCTCCAGTGCTCCACTGTGAGGTAAAGGTGCACATTCAGTCCTGAATAGATGCATGCAAGCTGTTGCCTTCAGCAGGACAGGTTGGGTCCTTGTGTTTGTGCCCCACACCTTGGTGCATCTCTGAGCACTGCTGGAGGAGCAGCACCTAGGTGAAATTCTGCTAGGTGCTGTCATGCTTGTGGCTGTCACCTTCCTGCTGCCGTCCCTGGGTGGCTTTGGGAGCAGAGGTACCTTTGCTTTGCAGCCTGGCAGTGGTTTTACCTTCCAGCCACAGGGCTTTGGCACAGCTCTCGGAGCTGATTAAAGGGGGGGCAGTGGGGGGAATGCTTGGCTCTGTCCCAGCACCTTACTTGGCACCAGGGGAGATGGGTGCAGTCATGCTATGAAGCCTGTGGTGGGGAGGGGTGGCTTTGGCTCTGCCCCTGCACCCCAGCAGCCTGAGCACTGCCTTGGATGGGCTCCTGACTGCTGAAAGGCAAAGCCTGTAACTGAGAGGTTTTATCCCTATGAGTTCTTAACCGGCCTTTAGCAGCTGGTTTCAAGTCACCATTTTCTGGAAGATGCCTCCAAGCTCTGGTTTTCCAGCAGGATCAGGTGCCCTCCTGTCCTTTCGTTCTGTCACACTCTGGCACTGTGCCCTTGCTGTTTACTGCAGGGGGAGATTTGCTTTCCATGCATGGGACAGTTCTGAGGCACTGCATGGCAGAGCCCTTCCTGGAGGGCTCCAGAGCCCTGGAGGCCCTTCCAGAACTCTGGCCCACAGTGGGTGATGCCTTCAGCTGCCTCTCAACATTAAAATTCTTCCAGGAAGCACCGTGGTGGTCCCAGGAACTGCAGTGTGAAGCAGAATTAGCACCAAAAGCCAAGTGCAGATTATGCTGCCTCCAGAGCAGCCGTGGTGCATTCAAGCTGTGAGAGCTGGGTGCTGGTATTCCCCAGGGAATTCATACAGTCATAGAATTTGGGTTGGAAGGGATGACCCTAAAGCATATCCAGCCCCTACTCATACCGTGAGCTGCTTGCTCCAGACGAGGTTGCCCGTGGCCCCATCCAACCTGGCTTTGAGCATCTCCAGGGATGGGGCATTGCTCAAGCTCTCTTGAGCAGCCACCAGGGCTGGGGGGCCTTCCATGTAATGCTCCCCCCTGACCCGTGGAGCTGAGTGCCAGCCCGTCCCCATCCATCTCTGTGAGCAACAGGTGAGAATACTTCGAAGCCGGGTGCTCCTACTCCTGCCATATGCTGGTTATTTTAAGCCTGGAGACGAGAGATGTTGGCCACTGAGACACAGAATGGTGTTTGCTGCCAGGGGACAGCAGAGCCATCCAGACAGGGGAACATACAGGGGTGGCTCTGGGCAGGATTGTAGGGCTTTTTCCTTTTCTCAAAGCAGCATTTCTCACCTCCCTTTGGTTTGTGAGCACTTGGTCAGCTCTGCAGTCAGCAGAGGAAGGGTTCTTTCCACGATGTTTTATTCTCTGACCTTTTCCCTTTCAATTTCCTGGGGCTCATGCATCCCTTATGGCTTGTCGACCTCCTGCTCCCTCCATGCAACTGGGTAAGGGGCATGCATTGCATGCAGAATCCCATAGTGTGCTAGGCAGGTACCTCAAAATCCACAGTATTGAGGAAATATGAGTGGAAAAGTGAGAAGTCAGCAGTGTGGGTGGCAGAAAGAAGGTGAAAAGGAGAGAAGGAAGGAGCACATGGTGGGACACAGACATGTGCATATGGGGCAGCTCCTGCCTTGGCTGCACAGAACCTGTGCCCCAACCCCATGCAATGCAGAGGTGCAGCAAACGCTCCTTCTCTGAGTTTGAAACTGTTCTTTTAAGGACATAGAAGAGAAATAGTTGTACAATCAAAGCTGCTAGGTATCAGTGGAGATTGCAGGGATATGTGAAGGGGCTCATACATCCCTGTCCAGAGAGGTAAACCATATATACACACTTGTGCTGGCAGGGTCTGTCTTTGCTGGGGTTAGACGGTCTCTTCCCATTCCTAATCACAAGCCCACTTGAGCTGTTAGCAGTTCCTTTAAACAGGGATTTGGTGTGTTTAGGCTGACTGTCCTCCTTGAGAGCAGATGGTTTGTGTTACTGGGTAATATTTCAAAGGAGAGGGTTTTTCTCCTTACTGTGATGCCCTCTCCACGCTGTGGGGTGCAGTGAGGAGGTACTAGCAATGGGAATGTGCACGCTGCAGGGTCCCTGCAGATGATACCCACATAGATTGAACACATTGCTCCCAAACTCGGGGAGCAAGCAGACAGCAACCCCTTCCCTCTTCCTCCCACCTTCCTCCTTGCTTTCTTCAAACCTTTCCATCTCCTCTTTGCAGCCCAACGACCCGGTGACAAACATTTGCCAGGCGGCCGACAAGCAGCTCTTCACCTTGGTGGAGTGGGCCAAGAGGATCCCCCATTTCTCAGAGCTGCCCCTGGATGACCAGGTCATCCTGCTGCGAGCAGGTGAGCCCCAATGCACTGCATCCCTCAACCGTCGTGCTGGGATTTGGGTGCTGGCAACTGGAGAGCCTTTAGCTGCTTCTGAGGAATAACTTCAGATCGTTCAATTGCTAAGTAGGATTGAAAAAGCCCCAAGGGATGTGTTGCTGAATGGGATCCAGAATGTTGCACCAGCTGCCAGTGGGCTGAAAAATGGCCTGGCCTTCTGTGTGATGAATGAGATGCTCAGGAAATCAAGGGCACGATGCGCCAGCATCCTCCTGAGCTGGGACTGGAAAGACAAGGGGGTTTGGGTCTGTATGAAATGTCATAGAACTGCAATGTTTGATCATAATTAAAAGCAGACAGGGGAGAAAAATATATATCGCCTTCCCTCTCCCACCCACCAAGATGAAAATGAAGTTCTTTGGGTTTATTTTAAATTTCCTTATGCTGCAGGGGGTGTGGAGGAGCGGGGGCTCTGGGAGGTTACAGGCAGTTAACTGGGATGGAGGTGGTCTTCCAGCAAGTAAACGCAAGCCTCAGCTGCTGGCAGGTCCTGCACAAGGACTGGGGAGGGGCAGGAAATTACAAGCAGACTCAGTGAGGGTGCATTATAGGCACGAAGCTCTTCTCATAGCTCCCGTCATCAGAGAAGTGAGTACAAAGGCTTTGAGTCAATGCAGCAGTTTTGTTCCTTGAAACAGAGGGGCAGGCAAGTTGTTGGTGGGATGTGGGAAATCCCTTCCAGCGAATGACAAACTCAGTGGGAAGGATGAAATTGGGATTGGAAAGGAAAAGACCTCAGTGGTTTTAATGTTTCCGTATTTTCCCCCAAATGCACTTGGAGTGAATCCTAACAGTTCCTAAGGGTAGTGAGGCGTTGGCACAGGTTGCCCAGAGAGCTGGTGCATGCCCCGTCCCTGCAGACAGCCAGGGTCAGGCTCTGAGCACCCTGTGGAGCTGTGGGTGTCCTTAATCACTGCAGGGATTGGGACCAGATGGCCTTTCAGGGTCCCTTCCAACTCAAACCATTCTGTGATTCTGTAATTGCTGCAACTGTTTGTCAGAAGGCGGCTAAGGAAGGCTGAACTGGAGATGTTCTGACCTGATGCTGTCTCTGTGTT